CCTGAACCTGCACCTCAGTGCAGGGCACGTGTTTAAAACTAGGGTAAGTCTAAAAACCAGCTTTCGCGCTGATTTTGAAAATCACCTTGGTGTTGGTTATCATCTTCCCTGTGCTGGCGTTAGCTGAAACACCTGGCAAGGAACTTGAGCTCTGGCTGCCACATGCTCTTCCCTCAGCTGGATTTGAGCTGGTTTCCTCAAGGGCTGACAAGAACTTCATAGACTGTTCCAGAAAATTACATTTTAGCGTTACACCATCGGACCCGCACGTTCTAGCGAAGTGTAATCATAGAAAACACCTGCTCAACACACATTTTCCCCAGGCACGGCATTCAACGTGAGCAGTCCTCTAGCCAAAACCCCAGCAGCTGTAAGGACCACGAGGAAGACATGCCCCGGGGCTGCCAGCCAGGAGGACATGGGCTGACATTCCCACGCCAGCTTGGTACCAGCACCTCAGTCATTCGGACGTGCCCAGTCTCCTCACGCTCTCCCACAAGCTGAAGATAAGAATAAAAAATAAAGTAAAACCTGAAGTCTGTAATACCAGGCTGTGCAAGCAGATTAACGTTTACAAACGCGCACAGAAGCTTCCCCAAAATTTAGAATGAAATTAGCAGTGTGGAAGAAGGACCCCTTATTGTACTCCTCCACACAGAATACCACTAAAAAAATAGATCTCACTGCTCTCAAATACAACCTGATGATTTTATCCCTCACTCCAGAAGTCCAAGGCAGGACTTCCATCCGCACACCTGCACATGTTATGGGAACGGACCACCGCAGCCCTGAGCAGTGCTCACTCCTCCTTGACAAACACCTGAAGAAAAAGGTAATCTAGGAAGGACGCTCCATTAGAGAGAAATGATTTTGTAGCTAAAAAACTAATAACGAATTGTCTTTTTTCTCTTTGCGTCTTTCAAGGTTGAAGTGGACCTCCCTCTCCTTTCTCAAGTATCATTTTGACACTATGTTTCATTATGCAACAGTTGTGCTGAGCATTTTTTAAAGGCCAAAAAATTGGCAAATGGGATGATAAAGCATTTCCCTTTTTCCTGGTTTATTTACTTCTATATGCTTTTACAGTAACGTGAAGCACGATAATCACGAACCATGTTATTTTTCACAAACCGTGATTTAAAATATCCCTATGTACACCGATAGTGTCAGCAGTTACACATGTGCAGGACAAGCAGGAATCTGGTCCACAACTGGAAAGTCCTTTCTAATCCTCTAAAAATCTACAGAAAAATGCTGTACAGTTGCCTAGCTTTATAAATGGGGCATACGCATAACGCCATGCAAGAATAATCAGCCCCGGGACAACAGCCTCTAAATATAATTACGGAGAAGATAATAATGTTGTTTTAACTGCTACTTCTGTCAGAGTGCTTTTCCTCTCAAGTCACTAAGGTTATCTAGCAATGGTATTTTCTTCTAGCAATCGTGGTCTGCACGTCCTGGGATGTAGTCTGCACAGCTCCCATCTTCAGCTTGTGAAAATGTAACAGCATCTACTACCACTGACCCATTTGCTTCTGTTGAAGTAGCATACGTATCTAAAACATGGTCACCATACCACGTAATTCTACCCATGTCTGCGTACAGGCTGCAGCCAAGAACAAATTTATTTTGGTATAGAGAAAACCATAGAGGTCCTGCAATACAGCAAGTCAGCACTGCTGAAAAGAAAAGGAAAAAAAAAAGACAAAAAAAGCCTGATGTTTGTTGTTGTATCAACAAGCAAGTTGATATTTAAGTTCTTCCCACCTATGTCTTTGGGAAAAAAAAAAAATCTCTGGTAAAAAACCCAGAGAGATCATAAACTGCGCTCGGAATTGCGCCACCGGCTCACTCCCTGCGGTACGGCTGCGGGGAGCGCGCAGCCCCTATCCCGGAGCGGAGCGCAGGGCGGGATGGCAGAGCAGCAGCCGATGCAGAAAGCCTGCCCTTGGGCAGGCTCTTTTAGGGATCAGCAGTCAACTTGCAAAGATAAGGTACGCAGGGAGGAAGGCAAGCAGAGTACCTGGACAGGTAGCAGACAGGGAGAGCAACTTAGCTGCCCTCTGCCGACTGACTGATTTGTTGAACACTCCTCTGATCCAGTCCTGCACAGCTAAACTGCAATTTAACGGGCGAGGATTTCTGTGAATTCATCTCCACGCTTCCACACTGATCTTTACGTGACAGCCGGGTCTGTAAGGATTTCTTTACCCGCTGTCGGGCTCTATCAGCAGAGCCCTGTGCAAAGATAGCAAAGCTGGCACAAACAAGATATTCCGGCCGCCGCCGCCGCAGCAGCATGCATTCATTGGTGCAGTGGTCTGCTCCAACTAATTAACTCTAAAAAGATGTCCAGGACTCGAGCCAGTATTTCTGCTGCATCGTGCTATGTAGATGTACTAACTTGTTTAGACCTTAGCTTGGGTGTCTCTCCCTGCTGCGGCGCGGTGCACATTCAGCCGGGGCAGGAGCAGGGCATTTCGTGCCAGGGCTTGTCCGGCCGGTCTGATCTGCCACTTCAAATCAGGGGTCCCTTCAGTAAATCCAAAGATCAGTAATCCTCAGCGATGCTACCAATGGCGAAGATAGTGCCACTACAGACAAACTACGTGGTCCGCACCTGGTGGCAACTGGGCTAAGCGAGTTTCATGCTGTGGTGAAAAACATTTATTAAACAGCGACACTACTGAAATCCTCAAAGGGAAAGGGGACCGATCCACCGCTTCCCAACTCGGACGAATTCTCGTGACTCTCATGACATCTTCTGTCTGTCTGATGGGTCTGATTAAATACACATGACCCATTTAATTTCTAACTTTTTTTTTTTTTTTAACCGAAAGAGATCTCTGAAAAGCCCTCTGTAAAACGATAAAGTGGTTTTGGGGAAAGGGAGGAAAGACGGGATTTGCGTTTTAAGGACATCACCGCGTCTGTCAATCCTCGCTGCTTTGTCAAACTGCTTCACTTTTAAGGCGCGTCCATTTTATTCGAGGTTTAAAAGCAAATGGGAGCGTCTATTCGTTCAGCGCCTTAAAAGCTCTTCCTCCAGACAAAACGCGGCCGTGTGGCTTTAACCGAGCCCTTCGGTGAAACCCCGAACGCACCAGCATCACCCACTCTCGCCCGCAGCCGCTCCAGTCCTGCTGCTTTAAAGCAGCGCAACCGCCAGCCCCGCGGTGCTCGGCG